ATAACGATCTCTGGCTGAGATTGAATGCCGTGCTGCCCACCACCTTTTGGATCATGTCGCTGCGCGCCATCACCAACAATTCGGATGCACTCAATCGACGCACCTTTGCCAATGAGAGCCTGCTGGAGCCCATGGATGTATTAGGGTATGTTGAGATCGGACGAAAAGGTCTTCAAGCATTGCATCACAATCTCTTTCTCTCTCTCTCTGACTCTCCATATTTCCGTTCTTTTCTCATGTGTGCTTCAGGGAGATCTTGAAGTGCAACCCTTACAGAGTTGACCAGACTATAGATACCTATTAGTTGGAGCGGAGTGAAGTGTGATGGGTGAGATGAGTGAGAGATGCTTTATATATAACAGTAACTGCATTTACTTTCACTTCTTCCTCTCTCTCTCTCTCTCTCTGTCTCTCTCTCACTATGAATTTCTCTCCTTCTCTGTCTGATGTATATATGCTATAGCTTCAGTTCAGAGTCTTGCATTGCCGGCTTAACAAGATTACTTGTGATTTATTTACAGACCATAAGATACCCTGTATTTGTTAAGTCGAGGTCGCTTAGCTTGAAAAGCTATTGAAATGGGATGGACTATGCCCGTAGATCTCTCTCTTTCTCTCTCTCTCTCTCTCTGTCTCTTAACTCTACTTAAGCTTATATGCTCTATATACCCTATAAAAGCCAGCAAGATCTTACTATAGTATATATAGATTACTCAGCATTTCTTCTCTATCCCTTTCCCTATTTGTTCTGCCTCTCTCTTCTTTTCCGTGCCCACTATAAATACCCATTATATTTCCATTCTCTACCACTTTCCCTCACTTCCTTGTTCTACTGTAGCTAATATTGTCCAATGTAATAGTTCTATGTATATTGTCATACTTCCATTGTAAATGCCTATTATCCCCATCTTTCTCTTTAGCCTTGCCCACTTTAGCTCTAGCTACTCCCTCCATTATACATCATAGGCCAGCTAAAGTTTCCATTAATTGCCTCATCCCATCTCTTCTCTGCAGATGTTCACGCGAGGTGTTCTGCTCCCCGTACATGTTGGTCATCCTGCTGCGAATCCTGAAGGGCAGCCTGGCCGCGTCGAAGACCTATCTGAACGTGCACATGCAACAGAAACAGGTGCTGGACAAGAATGGACTAGTGCAAACGGATGCGGACAGGGAGGAGCTGAAGACGACGCTGATTGCATCGCAGGAGAGTGCGGCCGTTCACATACTGCTCGAGGTGCTGGACTATATGGACAGCAAGGCGGACACGCGTGTGGCGAAGCTGGAGCTGCGCGAGCTGCAGGGCATCATTGGCACGTACGTGCATCAGGCGTTCATAACGGAGCCGTCGCTGGCCAAGCTGGTGCACTTCCAGACGTATCCCAAGTCCGTCATACCGATGATCGTGGCCAGCGTGCCCTCGATGCACATTTGCATTGACTTCGTGCACGAATTCCTCAATGTCACCGAAATGGACAAACAGATCTTCACCATCGAGCTGACGTCACACCTGGTCCTCAACTATTCGATACCCAAAAGCTTGGGCGTCTCCAAGTTCTGTCTGAATGTTATACAGACGACGCTCTCGCTGCTCACCGCATCGGCCAAATGCAAATTCCTGCGGCACGTGCTGCCCGCCATGGTGCGGTTCGTCGAAACGTTTCCCATTCTAGCGGACGACTGCGTCAACATTCTGATGAACACCGGCCGCAGCCTCCACTCGCAGTCCTCCCTCGGTGTTACCACCATGCAAATGCCTCTAACAGAGAGCGCGAAGCTCTGCTCCTACCGCGATGCCCAGCTCCATATTAATATGATCGAAGATGCTTTCAAAGCCCTCGTCGAAGCAGTCATGCAAAAGGCGGAACTCTATTAAATATATATATATATACTCTATATATATATACATATTTATATAAGCATACATAGAAATCAATTTGTCTGTATTTGTATCTGTATTTAGAACTATTCAAATTTAATGTCTGGCATTATTTAAAAGGACATATTATTATATATATGTAGTGAATACATTTATACACAGCAATCGGCCTACCAGTAAATGTTTTATACGAGATCTGATCGAATCTAATGGATCCCTACGAACTTATCAAATTGTAAATAAAACTCTATGTGTGTCCCGTTCAAAATTAACTCTGAAGTGTTTTTATTTATGTATGTACTTATATCTATTTGGTAATAAATCAAAGTAATGTCCATTGGATAATTCACATCCTTGAAGCACTTGAAACTCCTTCATCCTTACATGTTCGCCTTCAGCTCCTTGGGAAGTTGAACGAGGCGTAGGTCGCCTCGCTTTACCACATGGAAACGGCAAAGATTGAAGCAGAGGCAAAAGTCTTCAAATCAATTTAATTTGTACGACACTTTTTAAACACACCTCGGGTGCTACTGTAGGCCACACTTGAGTGTTACATATATTCATATTAATATCTATTTATATTCATGTTCATATCTATATATATTCATCTTGTTTTACCAAACTTCTTCCATCTCCACCATTCCCACTTACAGTTAGATTTTCCGCCATCTTCAAATTAAATTTTTGCAAAACTTTTTGAGCACACCTCGGGTTCTTCTTTAGGCCAGACTCATGTGCTATATATATTCATATTCATATTCATATCTATATATTCATATGTATATTCATCTCGTTTTTCCAAACTTCTTCATCTCCCTCATTCCCACTTAGACAGTTATATTTTCCGCGAACACCCGCCGAACAGAAAAAATGTTTTTCTTCAATAATTTTGTATTCTTTATTGTTATTTTTACAACTAACGCTATTTGTTGCCTTTACATATATAACATGTAAAAAATAGTATTTAGGAATAGTTTTTTTTTCACAAATAATAAAAAAAAAAGTTTGAAAAGAATATGTGTATCACGATTGCAGCAATGCGAGCGTATGGGATGGACAGCGAGTCCGGCACAATTGTTCAAAACAGGATATAAATGCGAAACAAAGTACACGGCGGCGGCGACCACCAAATGTATGAGTGTATGAGAGAGTGTGTGTGTGTGTGTGACTTGGTGTGTGTTGTATAAAGAAAGCTAACTACACCTCGTTAAAAGAATGTGGTTGTGCCCATCCCCTACTCTGGCATTGTGCATCATGAGCCTAAACGTATGAAAGGTGTGTGTGTGTGCATTTGTATGTGTGGATGCGACAGTGTGTGGAAGTGTAGAGGAAGTGGTTTACTAATGTTGCTTACATCATGCCACCCATACCACCCATACCACCCATGCCTCCCATACCACCCATGCCGCCCATGCCAGGAGCAGCATCGTCCTTGGGCGTCTCAGTGACCACAGCCTCGGCGGTCGTCAGCAGCGAGGCAACGCCAGCGGCGTCGGTGATGGCGGTGCGCACCACCTTGGTGGGATCAATGATGCCCTTCTCAATCAGGTTGCCATATTCGCCCTTGAGTGCATCGTAGCCATAGTCGCCGGTTTGGGTCTCCACCTTGGCCACAACCATGGCGCCATCAACGCCCGCGTTCTTGGCAATGGTCATGCAGGGCATGCGCAGAGCACGACGCACAATATCCACGCCGAGTTTCTATAGATGAAGAGATTGAAGAGATTACAGCGCTTGGATGAGCGTTATCATATCTTACCTGATCCTCGTTCTGTGTGCTGACTGCGTCCAGTTTCTCGATGCAGCGCAGCAGAGCGGTGCCACCACCGGGAACGATGCCCTCTTCGACGGCAGCGCGTGTGGCGTTCAGAGCATCATGGACACGATCCTTCTTCTCGTTGACTTCCACCTCGCTGGAGCCGCCGACGCGCAGCAGAGCAACGCCAGAGGCAAGACGAGCCAGACGCTCCTGCAGTTTCTCCTTCTCGTACTCAGAGGTGGTGTCTGTGATCTGTTCCTTGATCTGATCGACGCGACGCTGCACATCCTCCTTCTTGCCCTTGCCCTTCAGCAGCAGTGTATCATCCTTTGTGATGACCACCTCGCCCACTTGGCCCAAATCGCTGACCTTAACATCCTCCAGTTTAACCAGATCGGCGTCATCACCGAACACAATACCGCCCGAGGCGATGGCCATGTCGGTGAGAGTGGATTTGCGATTGTCGCCGAAACCGGGCGCCTTGACGGCAGCCACCTGCAGACCGATCTTCAAGCGATTGACGACCAGAGTGCTGAGAGCCTCGCCATCGATATCCTCGGCAATGATGACCAGAGGCTTGCGCTGTGAGTTGGCCAGCTCGAGAGCTGGGATAATGCTCTGCACTGAGGAGATCTTCTTCTCGGAGAGCAACAACAAAGCATCTTGGAACTCGACCTTGGCGCCCTTCGACGAGTTGATGAAGTAGGGCGAAATGTAGCCACGATCGAACTTCATGCCCTCGATTACCTCCAGTTCATCGATAAGGGTCTTGCCATCCTTGACGGTAATGACGCCATCGCGGCCAACACGCTTCATGGCGTCGCTGATCAATTTGCCGATGGCCTGGTCACCGTTTGCCGAGATGGTCGCCACCTGGGCAATCTCTTCTGGAGTCTTGACGGGACGCGACATGGTCTTCAGGTTCTCCTTGACGGTCTCGACGGCGACCATGACGCCGCGACGAATCTCAACGGGATTGGCGCCCTTTGAGATCTTCTCAAAGCCTTCCTTGGCAATGGCGCGAGCCAACACGGTGGCCGTGGTGGTGCCATCGCCGGCCTCCTCATTGGTATTGTTGGCCACATCCTGCACCAGTTTGGCGCCGATATTCTGGAACTTGTCCTTCAGCTCAATGGCCTTAGCCACTGTCACGCCATCCTTGGTGATCTTTGGCGAGCCCCACGACTGCTCAATGATCACGTTGCGACCCTTGGGTCCCATGGTCACGGCCACAGCATCGGCTAACACATCGACGCCCTGCAGCATCATGGCGCGCACCTCAGCGCCGAATTTAACATCCTTTGCATAGCCGCGCATCGCCAGCTGCCGGCTGATAGAGGTGCGTGCAAGTGAAACGGGTAAACGGAACATCTGCAATGCACAGAGCGCAATCAAATTATCGATAAATCAATTGCTGGCAAGACATCAAACGGGAGGAGAAAAAAAAAGAACACGTGCACAGCGCTAATTGATGCAATATGGAATTTGATTTCCATTTCAGTTCATATTAAATCATTGATAAGAGCACGGCGACCCCCTGCCGGTGCGGGCTATCTATAGCAAGGCGCGAGAACAAGTCTTCCAGAACAAATCATTTATGTAACCAGGCCGAGCCCCCCACCCCTCCCCCTTCGAAAGTGACCTGCTGCAATGTTTAGGGCTGTTATGAAATGTGGGCCAAGTGCATGGACCTTCCATATACCCAAGAAATGTAAAGTCCAATAACAAAACATGCACTGTTCCCGCATAGCAATTGTGAAATCGGACGAATAAAGAAAACATGTGCGTTTGCCGCTGTTACGTGAGTATATGTGACTGTGTGTGTGCCGCTGGAAAGTAAATCCAATTGGAAAATCTGCGATTATCAATGGAACGTAAGAGAGAATGCCCGCACGAATTGTCATTGGTAGTTATAATTAACAAACATTTGCATTAAGTCAATTCACGTTATGTTTTACAGAAGATTCTAGAAAGAAGCCAGCCGCTCGCTTTGCCGGTTATCTTATATAACACCGCAATGCACACACACGCGCAAACGCACACACACAACAATGATAATCCAAATACTTGCGCACACGCGGTTTATGAACGTTAAATAATAAATTAGCTTGTTTTACTTACATTTTTACGGTTTTTTTATTTGATTGTAACAAGTTTAATAATCAAAAAATAATGCTGTGTGTTGAAACACTTCCGATTTGACTTGATGTAAATTAACAAGCTCACTTGCTCGAAATGTGCCGCAGGCGGACTCTTAACCTTAACAAGACTTTTGAATGAGTGACTACTGGATCAGTGTGACCGCAGCGCGTAAGCTAAAAAAAGTGTACAGCTAAGTAATGTGAAAAATCCCAAAGCAACCAACTTCATGCTTTTGGCTAAAATTTATACGATAGATCGATAATCAAAAATTGCATTCCGTCAACGTTTATTTGAAAAAGCACTATTTTCAATCATTTACAAATTGTATTCGCTGCTCTAGACCGGCAGTTATAGGCCCAATTACACTCATATAGTCCATTAAGGCGTCTAAATCAAAGGGACCCATTCTGAAAGAGACTCGTTAGAAGTTCGAATCAACTAATATCTATGGCATAGCTTACTCAAGGTCTTGGGCATGGTCGCTGATCAAAGAGAAACCATTTTTACCATTGGCCAGATACTCCATGACTACCAGCCGATAATGCTGAGTCTGTTGCAAAGGCTGATATTCAGGCACTGGGCAATTGGAGCAGCGCACGAGTATTTGGCGCACCCGCTCGCCGGGCTCAGCTTTTAAATTATAGATGATTCTCAATCCGGAGACTTGAAGAAAACGTTTGGATGTGGGAAATGTTAGGCTGGCATTCATCGGTGCCACGCTATCCTCCAGCAGCTGCAACAAATGATCGCCCCGTAAAGTCAGCGCATACAAATGATTCTCCCACGGACACATGGCCACCAGCTGCTTATATGTAATGTCTATCGCGGATTGGATATAAATGAGTTCCATTTAGCTTGCTTCCAAGGGGTTACTTATGTTTTAACTTACTGCCTGCTTTCAGAGGCACACGAAAGTTGCCTTGGCTGGTCAGCGCGATGGTGACGTTGCTCCAATTTGGCGCTTGGGCGGATGCTTCCTTAATAAACTGGAAAGATTAGGAACTAGAGAGAAGCATAGAGAGTGGGTGTAGGAAATCGACTCACGGCATGCAGCATGGAATCTGTGTAGAGATTGCCCAAGTTGCATTCGCCTCGCGCGCATTCCACTTGCTGCAAATAGACGCGACTGTTGCCCACTATACGATTGGATGCCTCCTCCAGTTGTGCCTGCCAAGGCTGCAGAGCTACAAGAACGTCTTCATCTTGCATAACCAAAGGTCATGAAGAGGGAAATGAAAGATAAGTCTCGTTGCTTATTCATGATCTATGCATAGGTGAACATACTCTGCATTTAGTCAACATTAATTTTAGGTTTATTATTTTTGATATATATGTATACATATATATTTATATGTAATATATAAGGGAAAGTTCTCTAAGTTCTTGTTAGCTGATATACCTATACGTATATAGATATATGCATATATGGTACAAATGGTTAGTGGTTCATACCCTATAATATGACAAAGGGACATATTGGATTTGTGCTAATGTATGCAACAAAAATTGATATGAGACATTTTTAGTGTATGTAGGGAGGTATATTTAGCTTTAGTATACCTTGTTCTTCTGCCTTAAACTGGCCATCATTTCAGTCTGTCCCTGTCTCTGTCTCTCGTTCTTTCTCTCTCTCTCTCTCTTTCTCCATCTATCTTTCGCTCCCTATCTAACTTAAGTTAGCTTTTGAAGCCTCAACACACACAATTCAGTTAAGAACTAATAGAAATAATTGAATGCGACCCCCCCCATTTAGATAAGCTATCAAAACTTGTTAAAAACAATATAATTCATATATAATTTCTTTGAACGCAATCAATGAAAGTCCATCGGGAATACCTATAAATATCAAAGATTAAATAAATCTAGGAAATACTGCAGGGATTATATATATAAGTTAACACAATCGACCAGCAAAACATAAATGTTCAGATTGATCACGCGCCGTCAGCATGAATGTAGCCGTTCCCAGCGGATATTGCACAACAGCAGCAGTGGCTCCAACGCGCAACAATGTTGTTGCCCGAAGTAATGCGATGCCTCGCGTAAATATGCAATGTCAGCATAATCAGGGTTTAGGGCTAGCTTTGGATATAAGAATTTATGTCACTGTACTTTAGTTGATTTTTGATAATAAAGAACGTCGGTCGTCGCCACGGGATTATTGAAGTCTACTCATTTTGTGCAACACCGCACACTAACATCTAACAACTACAGCAAAAAAGCTTAATTGGCGCCCAACCGAAACGAACCCAAAAAAAAAAAAAAAAAAAAAAAACGAAATTAAAACTTCGATTAAAACAAGCATTCAGTGAGATAAATACCCCACAAGTGCAAAAAAAAACAGCAAGACAACTAAAACGCATAACCAAAACGAAAAAAGAAAAAAAGAAAGCAGCATTAGACGAAGCAGTACGCAGCGAAGACACCCACCACGAAGCGGCTCATCAGCGAAGAAACACACAACATACAGTCTACTAACATAATATAAGAACATGTGAGTAGAGTGTTCATTGCAAAAAAAGAAATTAAGGAGTAAAAACAAATAAAAATACAATTTCAACCTTTAAATATTAATTATTAATAACAAAAAAACGCAGCACGCAAAATTCCCTGTCTTTACTTGCCCTATGAGTGATAGTGAAATACAAGATTTAATAACAAATTTTCGAAAAATTTACAACACAGAAAATTTAAAAATGGCTTTGAATTCAGATCAATTAAAAGCTATAGTAGAAGGCGCAGTCGCAAGCGCTTTAGCTGCTCAAAAAGATAGCTTTGATAGAAAATTAAACGAAATTGAACAACGTATAAATTCAGTACAGGTTAGCGCACCCGAGGTAGAAACTTTCAAGGAGGCAGAAATCAAAATAGGTGTTATTTGCAACGAAACCCTTGACATCATGAAGTCCCTCCCGGACTTTGAAGGAAAAAGCGAAACTTATGTATCTTGGAGAAAGGCTGCGCATATCGCATACAAGGTATATGAGAAATACGATGGTAGCTCAAAGCATTATCAAGCTTTGGGAATATTAAGAAACAAAATTAAGAACGCTGCTGATATGGTACTCTCTTCTTTCGACACTCCTCTAAATTTTAAGGCCATTATAAATCGGTTAGATTTCACGTACTCCGACAAACGACCGATATACTTAATTGAACAGGAGATGTCAACACTCCGCCAAGGAAATTTGACACTACTGCAGTACTACGACGAGGTAGAAAAGAAACTGACTTTACTTATAAATAAGACAATCATGACCTACGACACCACCGTTGCCTCTTCGCTAAATGAGAAATATAGAGCAGACGCCCTGCGAGTATTCATCTCAGGAACCAGGAAGGCCTTAAGTGATGTCCTATTCTCAGCTAGACCAATTGATCTTCCCTCTGCATTGGCATTGGCTCAAGAAGTTGAGTCAAATCATGAACGTTATATGTTCGCCACAAATTTCGCCCGCAGTATAGAAGAAAAAGCGCAGAAGATCGAACAAAGACAGCAAGTCAGAGACAAGACTCTAGCTCAAGACCCAAAACACAACCAACCAGGAAAAAGCCCACACTACAAAAGACCAGAATTCTCACCACGACAAGAACAGGTAGAACCAATGGACGTTGACTCATCTTCTCGCTTCAGACAGGCTACGCAACACCAACAAAACGCGACCTTCTCGAAACAGACTCAGTGGCCAAATCAACAACGACGCACTCAATACGAAAACTACAATAACCAGGGACAGGCAAACAAACGACCAAACAGCGGTAGCGCACGGTTCACAGGACCGAAACAGCAAAAGAGTTAACCACCTAGGAACAGAAGATACAGAATACGAGCAGGACAATAGCGAATACCAAGCGATCGCAGAAACCGAGACAGAAGACGTTGACAATGAATTGGACGAATACGACCAGGTCAATTTTTTAGGAATAAATCCCTGCTCCCGTTCATAGAGAGAACGATAGCAGGGAAAACCATAAAGTTGCTAATAGATACCGGAGCCTCAAAGAATTACGTGAGACCATTAAAAGAACTAAAAAATATTACGCCGGTAGAAAAACCCTTTCGATTAAAATCAATCCATGGCCACAACGTAGTTGACAAGAAATGCATAATGCACCTTTTTAATACCAAGACAACATTTTTCTTATTACCAAACCTCACGACATTCGATGGTATAATCGGACTTGACCTACTAAACCAAACCAACGTTTTATTAGACTTCAAAAATAAGAAACTAACAACAAACTATGGTTCTGAGACCATTAACTTTCTAAAATGCCCAGCCGTAAATTTCACAAGTGTCAAAGAAATAGAAGCCCCTCAGGCTATAACAACGGAATTTCAAACAATGCTCAAAGCCCGAGCAGGAGTATTTGCGGAACCAAATGAAGCGCTTCCGTATAATACAAATGTCATTGCAACTATTAGAACAGAGGACGAGAATCCCATTTATTCAAAATTATATCCATACCCAATGGGCGTATCAGAATTCGTAAACACAGAAACTCAAGATCTGTTAGAAAACGGTATAATACGTCCGTCCCAGTCACCATACAATAACCCCGTGTGGGTTGTAGATAAAAAAAGGTACCGACGAGCAGGGAAGAAAAAAGAAACGTTTAGTTATAGACTTCAGAAAACTAAACAAAAAAGACAATAGATGACAAATACCCCATTCCCAATATAGCCTCCATTTTATCCAACTTAGGCACAGCAAAGTACTTTACAACACTAGATTTAAAATCCGGATTCCACCAGATTTTACTTGCCGAAAAAGATAGAGAAAAAACAGCCTTTTCTGTAGGAAGCGGAAAGTATGAGTTCTGCAGGCTCCCTTTTGGCTTGAAAAATGCACCTAGTATTTTTCAGAGAGCCATTGACGATGTGCTCAGAGAGCAAATTGGAAAATCTTGTTATGTTTACGTAGACGACGTAATCATTTTTTCTGAAAATATGGAAAGCCATGTCAAGCATATCGCCTGGGTCCTAGATAAACTATACGAGGCCAACATGAGAGTTTCACCAGAAAAGTCGCACTTTTTCAAAGAAAGTGTAGAATACCTAGGTTTCGTAGTCTCAAGTAATGGTATAAAGACATGTCCAAGTAAAGTTGAAGCGATTCGTAACTATGAAGTACCAACAACTTTGTTTAACGTCAGATCATTCCTTGGGTTGGCAAGCTACTATAGGTGTTTCATCAAGGACTTCGCGTCTATAGCAAAACCTATAAGCGACATCTTAAAAGGCCAAAATGGCAAAGTGAGCGCCGGACAATCCAAAAAAATTCCAGTAAAATTTGACGAGAGTCAACATGCGGCATTCGAGAAGCTAAAAGAGGTTCTTGCATCCGAAAATGTAATGTTGCTCTACCCTGACTACAAGAAGCCGTTTGATTTAACAACGGACGCTTCATCCTCTGGTCTTGGGGCAGTTCTGTCACAAGGTGGAAAACCAATCACCATGATATCAAGAACATTAAAGGATAGAGAGCTTATCTTTGCAACAAATGAGAGGGAACTACTTGCAATAGTTTGGGCTTTAAAAAACCTCCGAAATTATCTATATGGGGTAAAAAATTTAAATATCTTTACGGACCATCAGCCTCTGACGTTTGCAGTATCCGACCGAAACCCGAACGCAAAAATCAGGCGTTGGAAAGCTTTTATAGATGAATATAACGCAAACATCTATTACAAGCCAGGGAAGGAGAACTACGTTGCGGACGCACTGTCACGGCATAATATTCATGCCCTAGAGGACGATGTACAGTCAGACAGAGCCACAATTCACAGCGAAATATCGCTCACATACACCATAGACACAACAGACAAACCAATCAACTGTTTCCAAAACCAAATTATAATAGAAGAAAATAATATAGCCTCTGATCGTACAGTTATCCTATTTGGTAAGAAAATCCGACATACAATTCATTTCTCAAACAGAGACTCGTTAATCAAAAGAGTTTGCGATGTAGTCAAAAAAGATGTCGTAAATGCAATCCATTGCGAGTTACCAATATTAGCATTCATACAACATAAACTAATAGAAACTTTTCCAACAACAACATTTCGATATACAAAGTACATAGTAAATGACATTTTTGATAAAAACGAACAGAAAGAAATAATTGCAACAGAACACAATCGGGCTCACAGAGCAGCCCAAGAAAATGTGAAGCAGATTTTACAAGACTATTTTTTTCCGAAAATGACAAAATTAACGAACGAAGTTGTTTCAAATTGTAAAATTTGTAAAACAGCTAAGTACAATCGTCACCCACAAAAACAAATACTTGGAGAAACACCCATACCTTCCTATGTGGGCGAAATACTACACATAGACATATACTCAACCAATAAAAAATACTTCCTTACGTGCATAGATAAATTTTCAAAATTTGCAATTGTTCAACCCATCGCTTCAAGGACAATAATTGACATACAATCAGCAATTTTACAACTTGTAAATTTTTACCGGCATACCAAGACGATCTATTGCGATAACGAGCCCTCCATAAAGTCCGAAACAATAAAATCTCTGCTAAACAATCAATATAACATTCAAATCGTAAATGCCCCACCACTCCATAGTACATCAAACGGACAAGTCGAGAGATTCCATAGCACCCTCGGTGACATTGCAAGATGCCTAACAGCTCAAAGGAAAATTACTGACACTGTTGAAACGATACTTCAAGCAACTATCGAATATAACAATACAATTCACTCAGTAACGGACAAACGACCAATCGATATAATCCACTCATCCTCCCCAGAACTCGAAATAGAGATAGGAAATAAAATTCAAAAGGCACAACAACTCCTAACAAATAGAGTAAACGAAACAAGACACAATAGACAATTCCAAATAGGCGACACAGTTTTGGAAAAAACAAACAGACGCTTAGGGAACAAACTGACACCACTATACAACGAAGGCAAAATTGACGCAGACTTGGGGACAACAGTCTTAATAAAAGGGAGGGTGGTCCACAAGGACAATCTAAGATAGGCAAAACATTAAATTCCCTTTTTATCTTTTTAGGATTTGGACTATACTTCTTTTGCTACAACGATAACAGCGAAATTGACTGACTATACTAACATGGACTACATACCGATCTTGGACGGATACGTAACCATTTGGACGGATTTCCAATACTTGAAGCACTCAACCAACCTTACCCTATACTCAGAAATAGTAAAAAATACGAAAGAATTAGCAAACCATTTCCCCCGATCACATATGAGAATGTTATTAGACGCAGACATACAACATATAGAAACATTAATAGCTACAGTAAATGTCCACCATAGACATGCTAGGAGTATCAATATGCTAGGCACCGTTCTAAAGGTCGTAGCTGGCACGCCAGACCATGATGATTTCGAGAAACTAAAATTTACACAGAATGAACTTGTAGAGTCAGAAAATAGGCAGATAACCATAAACACAAAAATGCAGGAACAAATTAATAAGCTAACTGACACCGTAAACCTCCTAGTAAAAAACACAAAAGTAAAACAAGTAGACACAGAGCATTTATATGAAACGCTGCTAACAAGAAATAGAATAATTATCTCAGAGTTAAAAACCTTAATACTATCAGTAACACTTGCAAAGGTTGGAATTGTAAACCCCTCCATTTTGGATTCCACTGATTTAAAAAACATTGTTAATGAACACTCTATAAATATCACTATTACTGACTTAATGGAAGTATCTCAAATTAAAGTTTTGTTAAGCGAAAATTTTCTACATTTCATTATAAGATATCCTAAGCCTAGCATAGTATGTAAAAAATTAACCGTATACCCTGTCCAACACAACGGCATCATAATAAATTTCGCCGAAGACTACAATTTAGCTGACTGTGGAAATCATGTAATATCAATAGGAAATTGTAGTACAGCCCTCACAATAACGTTCTGCAAGAAGTCACCCTACACAACATGCGCTCAACAGCTACACTCAGGTGACACCGCACATTGTTCAACTCGGCCCAGCCACCTCGAACCTCTAACCATAGTCGACGATGGAGTAATCATCATCAACGACGGAGCAGCTACAGTCAACGAGCAGATGGTAAAAGGGACGTTCCTCCTTACCTTTGACGACAAGATAAAGGTAAACAACACCGTATACCAAAACCAAAAAAAACTACGTGAGGAAATCCCCGGGACCAGCGGTATCTGCGCTCTTAAATATAACAGACCACCAAGAGATACCAAGCCTGCCATACCTGCAGAAGATAAGCATAAAAAATCTGCGGGATATTGCTCAACTAGAGGAAGGGCTAGTAAGAAGGCCAATAGTATCTGGGCTAACCGTGGCCATCCTTTTACTCTCCTGCTACGCTTCGATGAAACTCTATCAAAGACATCAGAGGAACAAACGTCAACGTGATCTTCAAACATTAATTAACAGTTTCAAGAAAGCCGAGGACGTCATTCATCTAAGTGGGGGAGGAGTTAACACAATCGACCAGCAAAACATAAATGTTCAGATTGATCACGCGCCGTCAGCATGAATGTAGCCGTTCCCAGCGGATATTGCACAACAGCAGCAGTGGCTCCAACGCGCAACAATGTTGTTGCCCGAAGTAATGCGATGCCTCGCGTAAATATGCAATGTCAGCATAATCAGGGTTTAGGGCTAGCTTTGGATATAAGAATTTATGTCACTGTACTTTAGTTGATTTTTGATAATAAAGAACGTCGGTCGTCGCCACGGGATTATTGAAGTCTACTCATTTTGTGCAACACCGCACACTAACATCTAACAACTACAGCAAAAAAGCTTAATTTATACACGGTTTCATGCTTACGTGTTTTAAACCTATTCTCTATCGAACATTTGAAAATAAATCTTGTCGTATCAGAAAACAATTTAAATAGTTTACAAATAGATTTTATTCACAAAAAATTGATTTATGTACATCTGAATTTGGTTAAATTTTTAAAGGAATAAAGCTCATATTTGTAACTATCGATAATTATCGATTTTTAGCAAATTGCCTATTTGATAGAGGAATATACTCTTGAAAATTCTCGAATCAATAGTTTTTCTTTTTTTTTCAAAAAAACCAATGCTATAAATCGATATTTATCGTTAAAAATAGATCAATATTTATCGTCTAAAAACGTGGTTTAGTTTAGCACCGTAATACGACCCTCAAGGCCCGTGTAGATAGGATTCACATTGCTGGTGTACGAGATGAGGGCATCTATGTCCGTAATGCTCACTCTGCAAACGAAAGAAACTCGATAAATATCGATATTTCGATATGATGCCTGATATCAATCAACACTCACTGGATGTCAGTGCCCGTACTAAGCATGCTAAAACCATCGCCGCCGCCTTGCAAAAAGCTGGGGGTGATAATGCGATAGGACTGAGCCGGATCGAGTGGCTTGTAGACGGGCACATCGCAGTCGGCACAACGGGCCAGCACAGAGATAACACGTGAATTGATCGGCTTGGTATAGTCGTAGGTCACCTTCAGGCCGGACACCTGCAGCATTATATACGAGCTGGTTACCCCGTTCTCCAGATCAATCTTGCTAGCTGCATACTCCAGGGCATCGATAATGTTCTGGCCCGGCAAATTGAAGGCCATCAACTGGTTCTCAAACGGCGCCATGCTCACCATATGCGCATAGGTCAGATCTGTAATAGATATACATATATGCATGGAGTGGCGCTTAGCCATGATTTACTGTAACTATCAATCAAGTTTTAGGATTCACTCACTGCCACGATGCAGAGGCACGCGCATACCGCCCGTGGATGCCAAAGCTATCGAAACATTCGTCCACTGTGGACTCTCAAAGGATGATAGGCCGACAAACTGTAAGAAGAGTTTTCATATACCGGAATTAGCTTAGTCATATCATTATCATATACATAATATATTTAACATACCGTATGCACCATCGAGTCACAGACGAAGTTACCCAAATTGCATTCCCTTCTGCCGCAATCCTCTTTGGTAAGATCGACAAGGGTTTGGCCGATGACCACCTTGCCTTCCTTATCGATGACCTCCTTCCATGGCTGTATAGCTCTCACCACAGTTTCATCTGCAGCAGCAACAACAACAACACATCACAAACGAGTTAGCACAGGCATGCACGACGCAAGAATACCCTACCCGACTACTTGGCTTAAATGCGAGTCAAGAAATCTACTTAAATCGATATAAATTATTTATCGATATTTGTCGGCTTTGACAAAACGACTGTAAAAATTCTTAACGTGAGCATAGATACATACATAGATATCGAACAGTCATTATATGTTTATCGATATATATCGACATATATCGACAAAAATTAATTAAATAATTATCAATATTATCATTTGCGTAGATTTTCATCCATTTTTAAACAAAGCTGTAAATCGATAATTATCGATAAATATCTGCATATAGCAACAGCAGTTTTTGGACCGTTTTGAAGAATTCAGAGATACACTTAAAAATTACCATTGCCGTACATCGATATTTATCGATTGTAAATGCTATCAGCAATTTAAGTACAGGGTATATACGAACAATAATATAAAAAGGCTACTTACCCTGAGGCACATCATTGCTCATATAGATGGGTGCACCCTCGAAGTCGATAACATCGCCTTTGCTGTCGAAATACACCGTTAGATTGCCAACATATTTGGCATAGGCGCCCGCCTGAACGATGAGCACACGATGGCCATTGCTGTGAGTCACCTCGGTGGGATAGTCGCCATAAGCCTTGTCCGGTCCAGGCGGCACGCCCGTGTAGAGGAACGTGTGCGAATGGGCGCCCACAATGACATCGATAACATCGCCCGCCTGCTCGGCAATCACCTTGTCCACTTCGTAGCCGCAGTGCGAGATCACGATGATGATGTTGGCGCCCTGCTCCGACAGGTAGCGCGCCTCCTCGCGGATCGTATCGCTCTCGTTGCGGAAGATCAGATTGCCTGTGTTGGCCAGGTCCTAGAAAGCAAAGCGAAGCGAATGAAAATTTGAACCAAACTGGAACTGCGACGGATGCTACATAGGTGGTCTCTAGGATGACGCCAATCAGACCGATCTTGCGGCCACCACGTTCCAAGATTTTCGATTTCTCGTAGAGGCCTTCCATGGTGGGCTCATGGGCGCAGTCCATGTTCGCCACCAGCATGTTCGTCTGCACGGTCTTCAGGAAGGGCACCAAGCCAGAGACGCCATGATCGAACTCATGGTTGCCCAGAGTCTACCGAAATAAGAAGAAGAAGGAGAAGAGGTTAGGGGAAAGCAACATGTAAAGATCTTAAATGTGGAGTTCAACAAACCATCGCATCGGCTGGCAGTATATTGAGAAACTCCTGGGTCACATTCCAGCGTCCGATGTTGTACCAGAGCGTGCCCTGGAAGCTATCGCCCGCATTGATGTAGATGGGATTGTAGTCCTTCTGCTCCTCGAGCAGACGCCTCACCGTGTAAACGGTGCGCGCATAGCCGCCGATGCATTGCTCCTCCTCACCACAGGTGCCGCCGCCAGTGTCCGTTGGCTCGTATCTAAAATCCGATCAGATGGGGGAATTTCAGCAATTTGTAATCATATTAAGAATTGGCATATGTATAAGGTGTGTATTTGGGGATATTGCGTGCTTATCGATGCGATGGCCGTGTGGAAACAGTTGTCGGAGATAAGCTTGGCGCACATGATTACAATGATTGTGTTTACGGTACTCGAGTCGATTATATGATGATATCTGCCATTGCCCACTCAACGAGCCATAGAAACACTCTACGGTGTACATATGTCAGCATGTGTTTTTCCGTGATTTACAGTTATCACAGCTGGAAAACTTACCTGGCATGTAAATCGTTAATGTGTATAATGGACAGCGGAAATCGATCAGCGACATCGCTCGATTGTTCGATGGCGCCAATGATGATCGCCATTGGCATTAGCATTAGCATTAGAATTGGCATTAGACTCATCTTGATCATCTTGTGTCACGTGTGGGTTCAGAGCGAGAACAAGGGCGAGGGCTTTATTATAGCCTAATCCGTGCGCTGGTCTTTTTAGAACTGAATCGCGTTCGCTCAGCTGTCGGCTTGCACTCGATTCAAATCGTAAGTAAACACAAGAACCTGTCCAACTGGCAAAAATATATGTACATATTTATAAATTATAGTCGTTCATCTATCAGTGATATATAGACTTTACGTTGTTTGTGTGCTTAGCCGTTGTGATAGCCGCTGATTAACGGGGCCATTCACGCATACCACATCCAAAAGTCCCCACCCATTTTAACCCCGTAACCAATAGGAAATGCTGCTTTACGATTTAAGTTTATAGTTCTATATGACAAATGACGTAAGAAAATAACTACTTTTGTGATTTTTAAATATGTTGTATTCATCATCAGTTTAATAATTAAAACAAATTGAAACGTGCATACTATAAAAACAATTACATTGCAATCTCCATTCATTTAATTCTAAAACTTAATACTGCGCGCCACAATTATAAAATCACATAATAAAGTAACGGCTGTTTATGTTTGCTGTGCTCCACTACTATGGTTAGTGGCTCCACACAAATTACTTTAACAGCGATAGTTAGGCGCTAAATTTGAATGGCAGTATCGCTACTGTTACAGTTTACGTATTCACAGGAAATAACAGTCTTCTTAAATTAACTTGAATTTATTTTTTAGATAAGCATTCGTTACACATGGCAATTACATATTTTGCATAATTTTTAAATGTAAAATATTGGCGCCAAAATTCAAATACGATGTCTATACATATTGCAGGTCGATTGTGCGTTTCGCTCATTTGCCCATTTCAAAAAGTTGCCGATAGCTTACAGTATATTTGTCGCCAAGTGCTGCCCATATTGGATACTGGTCGTATTGAGAATTGGATTTTAACCAATAAATAAGATCTTATTATATAATAAATAGATAATATATTTAAACCATGATATATCCGAACATATTATATATATTTACAGTAGCTGAGAGAATAAACTACCGATATAATTGAAATGTGATCGGTATTTTAGGGTGCCCCAATCAATACTATCGATATTCTAAGCTTAACGCGCCATACACATCACAAAGCGCTGTCCCTGTGCTTGTGCTGCCGCTGCAGCTGCGTTCAACACATAATTTTGTGCAAGGTTGGAGATTTTTATTTAACTATTTGTTTTTGTGATTGTGTTGAGGTGGCGCAGCCAAAACCATGTTAACGTTACTGCTGTGAATGCAATAAGCCGAAAAAGTGCACCGAAAACGCCTAGGAGCTGCAGTAAAGGCAGCGTATCGGAAAAAGAAAGCAACATAAGAAAAACCCGTAACCCAAACAAACTGCAGAACTGCATTTGTAAGACATATTTTGGCATTCATAATGACGCCATTTGATGATTTTGTCTATTTAATAAATCACGTGCTGCTTGGCGAGGAGCCGGTAAGTAGCAATAACAATAAGAACAACAATAAACCAACTAGAACAGTAGCGTTGCCAGACAAATCTAGAGAGGACTTCTAATTGATTTTCATTATTTGTGCTTATATTTAGACCATTGAGGATTTCATATTGCTTGTGGGCACATTGGTGGCCTTCATAGCTTTTATACTCTGGTGTTGCTTTCCCATACAGCCAAAGGTAGGTAAAAATATACCTAAACGCGCCTTCAAACACTGACACACAAACAAACACACACACTATTACACATATCACACACCACACACACACACACGCTCAATCAAACATGGATGTATGTATGCATATGTATGTATGAATGTGATGTGCCAACTACTAATTAGATATCCATTTTCGGTAATAGGAACCGGGACAGCACCGTCAGTTCACGTGTAAAATTATACAGAATCACATAAAGGCGTTCGATGCAGCTAGCAGAATGGAGAATAACGGCACAGCAACGGTATCGGCGGCGGCAGCTGCCAGCAGTAATGGAAACAATGGAAGTAACGGCACAGCCGGCGGCATCACAAATGGCGCTAGTGCTCACTACAATGGTGGCGGCAGCGGTAGTTACAGCAAAAACGGCACCGTATCCATGCACAACTATTACGTTAAAAACGGCCACCACTGTTGCACCTAAACAGGACATAGAACTTAACCAGGCCCAAGGCACTGACCAAGTCACGTTATTTTTGTGTGCGTGTGGTGTTTTTTTTGTGCGCTTTGTGTAGCTTATAATATTTATATCGATTAACTTTCATTATTGTTCTATATACATGTATATATATGTGTATATATATTTGTCATTTAGAAGATGTATTGTGCCAATTCGTAGTTCGAAGCGCGAAGCTGAAAGCTAATGTAAAGCGTCTTGAACTTTGTTCCACACCCTCACGTCCCGTTCTCCGCTCCCCGCACGCCCCCCGCAAAAGATTTGTATTGATTGCAAACGTGTATCTCGCAAGGAAATTTATTTATGTATTTGTAATTGCTCAGACTGATTTGTTCATGGTAGAAACCAATTGCATTTTATGCCAATCAACCATGACGGCTAAGGAAAAGACATGTGAAGAGAGAAATGTTGAACTTCTATATATATATATATATATGACAAATATATATGTGTATGTATATGTATTGTATATGAATTTGCATTCGAATACCAAATGAAAAAAACGAAAACTATGTAAGACATGACGGTAAACAAGGAAACCAAGCAAACTATTTATAAGTATTTATTTATGTATGATGTATGATGTACGATGTACAAACAATGTATGATGTATGACGAAACGTAAACAAAAGCAAGACACCAACACCAACAATAACAAATTGTTAAATATCAATATTACAACCGCTTACAACAAACACAACTCTGTCTCTGAGTCGTTCGCTTTTTTATGGAGCGTAGTGTAGGCGCCGCCACACAGTGGCGGCCATTCAATTAGCACCAACCAATCCATACTGAAGCTGGCGACTGGCAGTAACTGTAAGATATAAATTTTTGACACTAGCATTGTTTTCATGTAATGTTCCCATCACTTTCAACGCTCATACAACATTTGTAATTTCGTTTCTCTCAGTGTAAATACTTGAGATATGTATATACATATACCCGTCTGTGTATATATATTTGTATGTTTTTGATCTCATTTGTCAACTTGTTTATGTGATGAAAACTTTTAAGAATTTTGCCAATCCGAAGGGTTATTAAACAAAGAAAAGAATAAGAGAAAAATCCCCACAAAGAATCTTTTTTTTTTTTTTTAAATTTTATCAGCACACTGTGCGACATTAGTAAGCGGATACGTGCACACTAATCAGTAAATCACACACAGCCCACTTAAGCAATAACTTGAGTGGCTATTTTACTTTTTTTTTTAATTTAAAATTTATTTTATATTTTCTTCATTATTGGTTGCTATCTGAGCAAAATTGTTTAAAAATCACATTTGTTGATATTTGTTAGGTCGTTAGTCGTATTTGTAAATTAATAACAAACGGCATTGATGTATGTGTGTGTGTGTGTGTGTGTGCAACTAACGGTTAACAATAGATAGAGCTTACACATTCTAAAATATCAACAGTGATAATACCCTATGCATACAGCAGTTGTGTGTGTTAAGGAAAGTCCAGCCGATGATTGGCCATAAATATCGCAGGGCACTTACGTAATCGTAAATTATAGCTTAGACATATATATAGTATCTATATAGCATTTGGTCTCTATCGAATCTAGCGCTTTTTTGGTACCAGTTCAAAATTTGTGACTATAAAATAGGGATATTTTTGTTTTTCTCTGTATATATAAATAGTGTACAACAGGATAAGTACGTAACAATGAATTATTTTTACCTAAATAGTAGACAGTCTTAAGGAGTACCTAAGCTAGTAAAGCACAAAAAAAAAAAAAAATCTGTTATAATACAAGCGTCTATATCTATACGTTCGTAAATAATTTTGTTTAGGCTGAAGTATCGAAAGTTCCTTCGTTGATCGTTTTTACTTGGGTGGCAACTCTGACAACATTTAACCAGACCAATGGTCAGACAGCTTCAAAACTTTCCAACTTCTCGTATTTACAGAAATCCAATTAGAATAGGGACAAAGCGAAATTGTATCCATCTAGCTCTGGTGCCAGCCAAAAGCTCGTATGCATGCAACTCCAACTGGAACTGGAATGGGTATGGCTGCTGTTGTTGTTGCCTTTGTTGTTGCTCTGACTAGCTGGTGCAGTCCACTGGGAAGAGCACATGCATCTCGATCAAAATCTGGAGCACTATAAATACTGTATAAACGGTAAATAGAGCGACGCCAACGCGCTTCGTTAGCCGATAGCCGCTGCAGCTGAGTACGATGAACAGGCCAATGGTGCACAATATTAGGATGAGAATATTATACTCGATGCCCTCGGTGCCCACCTGCTGTTTGATGCCGGTGCCATAGTTCATGCAGTTCTTCACAAACCAGGGCACGCCCAGCGACAGCAAAATGGCTAGCGAATTGGCGCCGAGCGAATTCGAGACACCAATGCCATTTTCACCTGAAAACAAAACAAATTAGTTGCAGCAGTGCTCGAAAGTTCGTATCGTATTTGGTTACCATTTCGCAGCGAAATAAGGCTAGAAACTGCTTCGGGCATTGTGGAGCCGGCGGCGAGGAATGTGAGACCCATCACAATTGTGGGCACACGTATCGCAACACCAAATGCCGTTAACATCCAGACAATCATGTAAGCATTGACGCCAATGCAAATGATGCACATGATGAAGGACAACGGATAGAGGCGACGATGTCTGATTGGATGTGGAATGCAGACGCGCAGCACTAGCTTAATTGGGAACGTGAAGACCCACCAGAATTTCATGAAACCCGTCTCACTGTGTGGATACGCAAAAATGCTAACCGGCATTTGGTCGTCTTCATCCTCACCATTCCCTGGAAAGATAGGGATGAAAGGAGATGTTTAATTAGTTGCCCATCGATAGCAATCGCAATTTTCAGTTGGCATGTGAATTTAAATTCCATCGATAGCAGTTTAGTATATCATGTTTAATACGTTATCTATCGATGATACATTTAAGTCTATCGATGATACCCTAAGAGCTCAGATGCAAATCAGTGATCTCTAAGGGCGCGCATTTCAAAATGTTGAACTTTAACTAAATCTCGTTTCATTTCTCACTAAATGAAATGGGGTTTCAAAATTTTTATATTTTTATTGAACTTACAATTCTTGGAGTGTGTCAAGTTGGCTGTGGATGACATGGATGAGGTATTCTCTGGAAAATTGATCACAAATAGACCATCGCCCGAAAGTGGATCCTTCTTCAAAGGTAGCTGCGCTTTGGCGCTATTCTCTGGCGGCTCTGTGAGATCTGTTTTAGGATAAA